AGTAGCAGTGTTGGCATTGACAGAGAGAATCGAGTGGAAAGCGATGGTTGAGAAGAACAGGGCCGCAATCGATGGAAGCCCAAAACCTGCCATTTTTCCCTACCACATCCAGCTCCTTCTTCTCTTTCTCTTTCTTCAGTTTTGTGTGGGGGTTATACACTATTACTCAGTCCGTGCTTATCTAAGACTCAGGAACCGTGTTTTCTTTTGTCTTTGCTGTCAATTAATGGCCGTTGAGGCGCTGAGTATACCTTCTCTCATTAAAAAGTTTAGCATCCTCAAGGACCACCTTAACTAAAACATGAAATAATAAATTACTCTTATCAGTCTCATGAAAATTTTCTTGGTTTGATTTTGATAGTATTTTAAGTAAGTGATAATAAAGTGAAAAGTTATTGTTATAATTGAATAAGAAAAATGTAGTAATATCACCCATAAAAAACTTTTCAAAAATGAAGATGAGAAGAATTTTTGTAGACATTTAAAATAATAGGTGAAATAATTTTATGAACAGAGGGAATAACAATTATGTGGTTGGGATTTTCATAAAGCAAGGAAAATAAAGCTAAGAAATAATGAGATACATAGTATATGACTAAAATAAGAGTGATATGCAAAATATGATCTCTTATATAAAGTTCTTATATTCATATAAAATAATTTTCAGTGACTATAACATATCATGAATAGGAAGTTATGCATATAATAACTACAAACATATTTTTATTCATAATTTTTATTTGAGTAATACTCTACAAAAAAGACTCTAAAACTTACCACAAATTAATTATTTTAAACGAAGACATTATTTCACACGTAACCTAGTTGTTACTTCGTACTTGTTAGTATAATTTTTTATTATTTTTAAATTAGACAAAGTAATACTCAGTGTATGCCCATATACATTCAACTATAAAAGCAGTTTCAGTAACACATTTCTCTCATTCACTCGAACATCAAGCTCACAAAGAAAAAAAACAATACTCCTTCAATATGGTTGGTTTGTGGTCTATGGTTCCTGAGCAATGAAGGCAAGAGCGACAAGAGTACATGTATCGGGATTCTGCACGTGATGTCTTCCCACCATCTTTGGGAGTACGAAGAGGTCTTGAGATTTTCTTAGCATCTTTTATTTCTTTGGTTACCTTTGATTTTTTTAAATGAATGTTTTGAAAACCACAGGGCTTCATGATTCATGCTCACATTCCGGATCAGTTATCACTTGGCATATTAAGGGAGGGTTGTGGGTTTCCTTGAAAATCAAACCACTTGCATTGCATGGGTGTTCTATTATCAGTATTCCATGGAGACAGATGATGTCATCAATTGATAGTGTAATTTGAATTAATGAGCACAAATAATTTTGAAAGAAAAATTCTCCGACCGTGTATCGCACGGGTGAGTTTACTAGTTATTTTAAAGGAAGACATTATTTCACACCTAACCTAGTTGTTACTCTGTACTTGTTAGTATAATTTTTTATTATTTTTAAATTAGACAAGTAATACTGAGTAAAAAATACTCCGTATGAGCATACTAAGACGAAGTCAACTCTAGTGCTAATTTCTTTTTGTAAAGAGTAGTGAAGATTCTCCCATTTGTAAAGAGTGAGTCGACATCCTTCGTCCATTTCCTTGGAGCATCTTTAGTGATAAGCTAGTCTCTATGTCTCAAGAAACATTTGTCACTTCTATTTCATACATATTATTAAGAAAATAAATTTATTGAACGTAAATTTTACTGTTTTGACACTTTTTTAACATTGTTTGACAATGTTTTGCACTGTTTTGATGTAATTAATTTACCAAATAATAAAGTGGAATGTTAATTTCGAGAGTTCTCGAAAAGAAAAGTAAGAAGTTAATTTCACGACGGAGGGGTATTAAACTCTCTAGCTTGTCTTGTCTCCGTTAGCATTTCTAGCTTATACTTGGTTAGTTATAATTATTTCTTCTCTCTACCATTTTACAAATCAATCAACTTTTAACTGTTTTCGAAAAAATAAGTGAATTATTATTGCTAGGAGTATAAAAAAACATAGCAATCAAAAGTCGAAACCTTACAATCATAACGTTCAAAGTTCACTTCAGGGTGAGACATAAAAAAACCTATAAAGAGACTCTTGTTCGTTAAACCTACAACGATGTAGACTAGTACCACAGTATGACTGCTCATGCTATTTAAAATGGATCCGATTTGATCAGCCATCGAAACGAAATTATTGAATTTCCCGGTTTCGCTAGCCATCGGTAAGGAGTCAAGTGCAGAGTTTGTTGTGGTTTCACCAGCCACTGGAAAAAAGAAAGCAATCCATGCAATCCCATCTTCCTGGATCAGTGGTGGTTCAGAAGAGGGACGATCAGCCTCAATATTGATGCCGAATAAATAACATCTCTAGACAACGCTAGGAAATAAATGTATAGATAAAACTGGAAATATTGATTAAACAAATCTTTTTTCATAATTGAAAGCAAAGGAATTGAAAGAAGAGAAGAAAAGAAGAGGAGGCGGCGGCTAAGATCCCCCCTCCCCCGCGCTCCTCTCTCTAGGATCAATCAACTTTATATTATGTATTTGTATTGATTTAGTTTTTAATACAATAAGAACAATACACTTATTTTGAAATACTTTTTATATTGAAAAAATTCCTTCAATATTTTAAAACCCATAATTAGTAATTATCATTTTAATCCAAACTTCTCTATTGTACTTCATTCGTCCTTGTTAAAAATTATCATTTCAAAATGACATAGTTAATTAAAAAATAATGAAATATCGAAATTCGAATATTTATTATGAGAAATATACTTCGTATATAGTTCAATAAATTAAAAAAAATAAGAAATAGGAAATATTAAAATAAATGCAATGTGATTTTATCATTGCATTTCAATAGTGTACCTTTACAGTTGGACTTAAATTAATTTAATATTTTAATTACCTAAAAAATTATAGTAGTATATTTCTGATAATTACCATTTTAGTTTAAACTTCTCTAATCATATTTGTATATCACTCATATTATAAATATAATAAATTAACTTAATATAAATAGAAATGCACACTTTTCATTGTAAAGAGCAACAAGAATATCTATGCTGTTATTATGAGATTCAGTGTTGGCTCGATGTCATGTATGTACACTTTCGTATCTTCAAAGTTATTTTCACATTCAGATGCAGAAATAGAACCGGGAAACACATTCATTCAAGTTGCACATGTGTATCCAAACCTTGTATATAATCATGCATTGCTTCGTAAAAATTGAGTTTAAAACACGGCATAAATTAAATACTATAGTAATAAGTTGTACAAGTTGAAGAACTTACGTCACAAATACTTGAATAATGAAAATATTAATTATTGCACCAAATAGAAACTAACGTATGCAAACATGAATTCTCATGTTTTGTCAAAAATGAAGTTTATGATTCAATTTTTTCATTCATCAGTACGTAGTATTAACCATTGATTTAAATCGCTAAATAATCGAAAAAATACATTTTTCCGAACTTAAATACTCCATCCGTTCTCCAATAGACCAATATATGTCTCCCATTCCATTTTGGGATGTTCTCCAATACACGTCTCGCTTTCCATTTTTAAAAAGTTTTTTCAATAAATATATATATATATATACCATTATACCCTCATTCTTTTTCCTACCTTTTCATTGAAACACATTCCACTACACCTTTTATCTTACCCCTATTAATTTCTTCTTAAATCTTGTGCCAAAGGCTATAGAGCCATTAAGTGTTAGAGGTGAGAAGGTGAGGTTAGGGATGGAACCGGCCCGGCCCGCTACTGTTACTAACCGGCCCGACCCGCTGACCCGGGTCCAGGCCGGGTGCATTATACCGGAGTCGGGTATTTCCAAGGCGGGCTCCAAGTCGCCAAAATAGGAACCGGTCCGACCTAAGGATGGACTCGGGCCGGTCCGGTTCCGGTTCCGGGCCGGACTCGAGCGGGCTTTTTTTGCAAATTCATGGGCCCGAAACCGGCCCGAGTTGATACCGGGTCCGGGCCTAACCGGGCCGGGCTGGGCCAAGCCCGGTTCGATGTCTATTTTTTTTTGTTTTTTTGTTTTCTTGTTATCCCCCGACCCCCCCCCCCCTCACCCCCACCCCCAAACCTCCCCAAAACACCCAGCCCTGGCCTAGGAAAAGAAAAAACAATTGAAAAAACAAAAAAACAAAAAAACGGGCCAAGCCCGAACCGCCCGGGCCGGTTCGCCCAAAACTGGGCCCGAGCCCGCCCCGCCCAAACGGGCTAAAAGCCCGGAACCGGCCATCCGGTCCCGGTCCGGTCCGGGCCCAAACAGTACCGGGCCGGTTCGGCCCGGCCCAGTCCATCCCTACTCCCTAGCCCGGCCGGGCCTAGGCCATTTTTTTGTTTTTCAAAAACTTTAGGAGGTAATGGGTTGGGTGTTTTGGGCAGGTTTAGGGTGTGTGGGGTAGGTGGAGGGGGGGGGGGGTAGGAAGTAATTAGAAAAAAAAGATAACCGGCCCGACCCGGAACCGATAGCTACCCGTGCCGGTTCCGAGCCTCAAGAAACCAAAAAAGCCTAGCCCGAGACCCAGCGCGACTGCGCGAGGCCCGGACCGGCCCGAGTCCAACCCTAGGTGAGGTTATAGAATCCAGTTTTGAACAAAATTAAAATATACTCCGCATTAGTTAAAAGTTAAAACTAATAGTTGATACCAATAAACCAAAACAGTTGAATCATAAACTTCATTTTAATTTCAATATGAGTATATGACCAATCAAGAGCAAAATATTCCATATCACCCAACCGGTCTAGTACTCTGGTTTGGTCTAATTTTTCAGTCTAGATTGGATTGTGCTCAACGGCTCAACCCAACACCCCTACCCACACCACTGTTTCGCCACTTTCCGATGACTATCATGTAGAAGAGCTACGTGTCTTCAATGAATCATAAAATGAGGAACTTATCGGTCAGGCTGCGCACATAACAAAGAACGCAAATCCTGTCTCATCTATTGAACACACTTTTTACATGAAAAACTGATACTAAAATGGCAACACAGAAATCGTTCATAGGATAAAAAACCAAGCAAAGTTCGAGGCAAACAAGCATCTCTAAAGTAGAGACATTTGATTTAAAGCACCGAGTGGGGTTAACATTAAATTAAAAGAAAGCAGTCAAATACTTCCTAAAACAAAGTCATTTTTTTTATCTTCCTAGTACAAGAGTAGTACCTTGACCAAGGACATATGATGATTCATGTACGAAAGAAAGAATAAATTAGCACAGATGGCTGGTACACTACGGACTAGGCTGGGACATAAACCAACATTTACATGTACATAATTAAGATGATGCAGAGACCGATGGTGAAGCCTATAGTTGCAGAGATAAATATGTCGAGCTTCCATCTTCATATACACCAGAAAATGTTACTCCTGATATTACACACTCCTTCAAAACTCTAATGCTAAAGCTGGTGTTGCTGCATCTGGATATCAATCAAAACCGTTAATGGTAGGATTCAGGAACAATTAAGGAAACTATTCATGAATCGGCTATAGTAAAGTGAAAATGGTTTCATTTTGATGAAAGTAGTAATTACTAATTCTAGTCCTCCAATAATAGGGAAATAGTAGATTTAGTCCATCAATTACTAGTTTCTTAAGTCCATCAATCATTATGAAAGTGGTGGTTTAGCCCTTCACCGGAAGATTTTAGTTTAAAATATTAATTGATTTAAATATATCATTTTAAATATAATTGCATAAGACCGCAGCCACATATTAAATTACTTTTTGCACAAAAAGAGGAATTATTTTACCAAATAAATTGTTTAAACCCCTAAATCTAAATTGCATTCATTATACCTTTTGTGTTTGATTTTATAGAGACATGATAATAAATTTTGAAATGTAAATCGAATAAGCATTTGATTACATTCTTATACGATTCTCTTAATTTTAAAAAAAGAGGCCGATAGAATTCATATTATTCACACTTTTTTCTCTACTAATGAGGGGGCTACTAAAAACACCACTTCAGTAACAACTCAATTACTAACAGCAGTGACACTAAATAGTAGAGGCAGGAAATCCGCTACTTCCGTATAATACAATAATAGGTGTGCTAAAAGTGCCATTTACCCTAGTTCTAGTATCTTATTCACAGTTATTTATGACTATTGAGATGCACAGGTTATCCTAATGGATGAGCATACTGCAAATAACACAAAGACATAGAAGGTACTTGAGTGGCATATGATGAGCTCTGAGCAAGGTGTTTGATGAAATCTTGTTTTTTTACTTCAAAGTTGAACCTTGCGTGGTCTAGCAGTGCTTGTTCTCTCTGCATGTCTTCTAAAATTCTTTCTCTTTCCCATTTTACTTCCTTTATTTTATTCTCAACTTGGAAAAAGTTTTGAGGCGGACATGTCCTTCCAAAGTTCTTGGGAAATTTCACATCTACATCCCTTCATCCGCAAATAACACACATAGAAAAATAATAGCAAAACATGTCAGTGAGACAGAAAATATGATATATTAACAAATATGTTTATGACAGTTATTTTGTTACCTGCTTCCCAGTGAAAATATGCCAGCACCTTTTATAATTCCACCATCCAAAGAGATTGCCCCGCTGCTTATACATGGGAGAGCTCGAAGCATCTCGATCCTCGTTTTGTACACTTGTAAGCGTGAAAAGAGATTGTAGAACAAGGTCTCTCTTAGGCCATGACCATTGCTTGTTACACAAAACAGATTAATGCTATCCACATTGATCATATTTACAGCGAATCCAAGAAAACCAGGTGGAGATTCCCCATTTGGTAATTTGGGTTTTAGAAGATCAAGCCTTCTTTGTGGGTCATCAGCTATGAAATCACCAGCAAATGGACTAAAAAGCAAACCATAAGGTCAATGAGGATTTCGAAGTACTCCATAAGTCTTCAGAGAGTGTCTAGTTTTAAAAGTCAACTTTAACTTTAAAGTAAAATTCCTTTAAAGCCAAGCAGCAAGCTGTACTAATCAATTTACTCCAAGCAATCTTGGAAATGAGTTTTAATCATTCATAACTTGTAGAAACATTAAAAGTAAATTAAGGGGTTGTACCTTATTTAAACGTGATACTTTTTTAGATGGTGGGAGCACAAAAATAATTCATCAAAGTTGCCAAAAATAACATCATAACCAGCCTAACCTTAAATTTTCAAGGCAGATGACAAGAAATCTGCCATCCAAAGGCCGCCCGATGGACATTCCAAGTGCATGAAGTCCAGAGCTTTTATTTACAAGGCCCTCTTGGTCATATGTTTCCAGCACTCTAACACCATCATAGGTCTTGCATACCACAGCTAACATGGTTTCTAGTCCCAAGTAATCTGAGAGAACCCTTAATTTCAGATAAGCCCAGGAGAAATGTCAGGCACTGTACTAGTAATTATGCCTATGTCTAATTTGACTGACCTGCTTTTAGAATATGGAAGTTAAAAGTTTCATCAATTTAAATGAATAGTTGAGTACTAAAACAACTTGTCCAGTAGCTCACCAGGGTCACACTGTCACATGGTCTACCAAAAACTTGTATTCATTTCACATGAAACACAATCTTTGTTGCATTGTTGATCAGAGATTTAGAGAAAATTAAAGTTGAGATGACTTTTTAAACACAATTTAAGAATTGAACTAATAATGTAAATCCAGCATTAGATGGTAAACAATCGATAAAAATTAACAATCAATAAAAGGGAGCAGATACAAATCACAAGGTAAAACTAACTAACCTGCTGAGTTTATCATCTTCAACTCTTGCAAGTGTGGCAACAACACCAAGCACATCTTTTGATAATGGAGAATTAGAAGCCTGGGTACCATGAAGGGTTTTTAATTGGCACAAAATCGCAGCTGCAGATTTCTCATGCTTTAAAATCTGTTCAAGTGTTTCCTCCTCACTCCGTACATAGGAGAGACCATCATTTTCAATTGCAGGGCTGGTTGCTGAATGATATTTTCCAAGTGCAACTGGGACCAGATATATTTAAAAAATAGAAAATGGGAAAAGCACAATGAACTAAGTCACTAAGATTATACTTTGTAGTAAAAATGTGAGATGAAACGGTATGAGAAGAAGAAGAAATGCACCTTTTGTATTGAAAGAAATAGTACTTGTTTTAAAATATTAAAAATACATCGTTGACGGTTGTATACAGATTACAAAGAAGGATAAAAGGTAATTTGGTCATTAATAAGAATGAGCAGCTTTTCCATGGTTCTTCTCACTTGAGCAAAGAAAGAAAATGACTGTGGGTCTCAGGTTCGTTTCATCATTCTTTGCTTTCTCTCTAGAAAGCAAAACACATGATGTGTTGCACATCTTTTTTTCCTCATCTCCCTTACTATCGTCCTTGTTTGCATGCCAAGCAGAGGCTAAAGGTCCGTAGTGGTTATGAAAATAAACTGTCACCAGGAAACCATTAGACACTGAATTGCATCCAGCACGATGGTATCACACGTCTTCAAAACTATTCATGACAATTTTATGCAACATTCAGACTTGAATACAAAGAACTGGACATTTTTTCTGAGAAACTGGATACCTTTTACAATTTGGTTTCTTTCTAGTACCTTTCTTTTCATAACAAACAACAAACAAACAACCTTTCTTTTCATAAGAAGAGCAATTTTTTTATATTTAATAAAAAGAAGTACCTTGTAGATCTATAATCGAATCATCCAATTTGTTCTTCTTAGTCTTTAAAAACTTCATATTCTCTTCATGTTGCTGGACTCTCAGACCCGTCTCCTGTAACGCATCCTGACATTTCTGCAGTATTTGGTAGCAAATACAGTATTACAACTGTATGATACTCACTTATATAATAAGATAAATAAGAATTCCAATAGCAGAATGTGTGTGTGTAACTCTTGACCCAATGTGTTAATCATTTATCATGCCATTACTGCAGAATAAAGAAACATAACCTTAGCTTTGTAGGCAGCTGAATCTGCAATACCATTCTGTGCTCCCTGGTTAGCAAATGGAGGTGCATTGTTCGGACCTGTGTGGTTCAACATTGATGGATCATGCATAACAATTGCCTTTGAATTGTCTGGAATCTAGCAACCAAACCAAGTTAAAAGAACATATAACTTCATTAATAATTATATCAGATATATTCATTGCAAAGTACTATTTTAAACACTAGGGCACAAAATCTCCAAGAGCAGGGCTTTCCTTAGCAAAGCGCCAAAGCTGAAGTATATTACAACAGGGAAGTGTTTGGAATTGCTTTTACTTTGACTTCTTTTTTAGAAGCAGATCAAATTTGCAAAGGTGGGTTTCCTCACTTCTAAAAAAAACTGCTTCTAGGAGCAATGCAGCAGGTTAAACTCCAGAATTTTGGCTCTTTTGTACGAAGGCAACACTGCCAGCGTATTGGATGGTCATAAAATTACAGCTATATTACAACTCTTTGATTTAGAAAATTATTCATCGTTTAAATGAAAGAATAGATAAAGAACGAACCTCAACAACACCCATCTAAGCTTGATCTCTTACTGCTGATAAGATATAAAAACATATGTAAGAAAGATCGAAACAAGATGCCATAAAACACGAAGACAGTTACTAATCATCGACTAACCTAAGGGGAAGAGGGGATGGAAACCGGAGAGAGCCGTACGACGGTGGATCGGTTGAGAGATGGTAGAGTTATGTTATTCCAATAATAGAAAAAATGGAGATATTTTGGACTGTCGTGTTTTTACTCCCAAAATAGGACTAATTACTGTCATATTTTAGTAGTACCAGACTTCAAACATGTCAGTATTTTCTAAACATGTCAGTAATTAGTCCTATTTTGGGAATAAAAAACATCACAGTCCTATTTTGGAATTTTGAAACTATTTTAGTCCTATTTCGGGAACTTTCTCTAGAAATTGGGACTAAAACTTAGAGCTACCTAGTATTAAAGATGACCACATAAATATTGATAAATAAACGGGAAAGTTCCCGAAATAGAACTAAAACAATTTGAAAATTCCAAAATAAGATTGTCATGTTTTTTGGACTGTCATAATTTGAAAATTCCAAAATAGGACTAATTACTGCCATGTTTAGAAAATACTGTCATGTTTGAAGTCTAGTACTACCGAAACATGTCAGTAATTAGTCCTATTTTGGGAATAAAAACATGTCAGTCCTATTTTGGAATTTTCAAACTGTTTTAGTTCTATTTCGGGTAATATTCTCTTTTTTTACAATGTCAACTACAATGTCTACATCTAGATAGTCTCTTTAAAATTGCAGAGTAAAACTTACCAAAATTGTATAAAATCATTTAAATAAGTAGATAGATTATTTATTTACTGATATTTATGTGGTTATCTCACATGCCACATGTGCACCGTGCACATTGTAGCATTGGAGATGCTCTTAGACAAAATGAACAAACATGAGCACATCCATTTTATTCCCGAAATAGGACTTACTTGATTTTCTAGTCTGATCTGTTTAAATCTGATCTAGTCTGATCTGTTTAAGTCTATCTGGTCTGATCTGGGTCTGAAAAGAATCCAAGTAAAAACATCCTCACATCACACTTACATCACAAAATATCTTAAAACTCACTATTGTTGAATATTTTATAATACACTGCACAAAATAGAAAATGATCGATAAGATTGATAAACCGAAAATATTAGTTACCAAACAGACTTTTAATAGCTTTAAGATGGAAAGTACATGTTAAAGTTAATAATAAAATTTTAGAACTAATATGTTTTGAATCTCATAGACTAATCAAAAATCTAATCTAAGTGTAAAATTTACTCACATCAATAAGCATTGAAATATTTACATAAATCTTATATATTGATTTGGCCACAATTTTTTATTTGATATATACGATATTCTAGTCTTAAATTTTAGTGTTCATTATAACTACGGAGTTTTTTTTTTACATTAACCAATGTTTTACCGAAAAAAGTTGTATCATATATTCATGGTTTAAATATGTTTTTAGTTCCTCCAAATGTAGTACATTTTGTTTTACATCCCTTCAAAATTATTTCTTTTTAATTGTTCCTTCAATTTATGTTGTCCATCACTGATGATAACAACCTCTGCTTGACCTCAAAATAATCCCGACTAATAGATTTCCTCTAATTCTTTGTCATGTTATTTAAAAAATATTTTATTTTATTTTTTGAAGGCTTTAATATATATTTTTAAAAGTGAATACTTAGGGCCTATTTACTAACAGAAATATAATCTGTTTTTGCAAAAATTTGGAAAACTGGAGATAGAAAAATAAGAAAACCTGTTTAGCTAATTGTTTTCCAAAAGGAAACAACCAAACGTGTTTCACGTCTTCCTCTTGAAATGGAAAAACCACTTTTAGACGTTTTATAAATTTAGAAAACGCAGAGCTACAGTGATACCTATTTACTTGCTCGCCTTCTCTTCCGCCTACCTTCTTTACTCTCATCCTTAACTACGCTCTACCTTCATCTGCCTACCATCTTTACCATCGTCTTCTCCCTTCCTATTAAAGTCGAACGCTTGCTTCCCCCAAGACATCACACATCTTCTCTGATGATCCACAGCTCATAGCTTCACATGTCAACCAAGCTCCAGATACACCAAACATGGCGTCGCTGGTAGGAGTTGCACCCCTCGAACATCACGGAATCTCCCAATTCTTCAGTCGGCTCATGTTCTGTCAACGAGTTGAAGGTAATCTCTGAAATTAAATGGCATTTTCAGTTTACCTTGTTAAAAATTCTAATTCGATTGAAAACTTGAAAGCAATTGAAGCCTGAAATTCATACTCATGTGACTCTTCTACCATTTTAAGGCCAATTGAGCTTAACTTTTTAAGCAATTGAAGCCTGAAATTCATACCCGTGTGAGTCTTCTACCATTTTTAAGGCCAATTGAGCTTAACTTTTTTTATTTCTGGCTTTTTTCTGATGTAGTAGTCTAAGATTAGTAGTTATTTGAGTTTTTACTTTATTCATGGGGTTTTAAGTAGTTTTAATATGTAGTCAAATTCTTATTTGAGTTTCTGCAATACAATTTAATAGTTTAAATAAGTTTTAATAATTTGCTTTATTTGAGTTTCTGCAATTTGTAGTCAAATTCACCCTACTAAACTAGTTGTTAATTTCTAATAACAGAACCTATGAAACTAGATGTGTGACTAATTTATTCCGCTAATTAGGACTACCTGGGCTTGGGTGTTTGTTGTTGGGAAGATGTTCTACAGGCTTAGGCCAACAATTTCCCATAACTATATATCTATTTCTTCTAGTTTGGAATTGAATGGAAAAAGTATGATTGTTGAGAAGGGGAATGTTTTTTTATGCATTTGTTCCTTCTTCTGTTATTGGAAACAAGGATTACTCATTCATTCTTATTTATGATTATGATGATCGTATGAAAAGAAAGCTATTTTCTTGTTTGACCCTTTAAAGTTTCCCAATCGTGTGAAGAGTAGAGACCAATAGGGAAAGGATTTAAAATTTTGGCATTATGTATGGGGGTTTATAGTTAAACCATCTCGGGTAGAGATTGAAGATAATAGGCGGGGAAGCATAAACAACTGCTTTTGTTAGTTGGAAGTAAGAGCAATTTGACCTCCAATTTGTTCAAACTTTGTTCTGTTTAATAAACAATTCAAGCCCCTGTTTTGTTAACAAGATTTGCTTTTGGATTATGGTACTCAATTTTTTCGTCATTTAGTTCATTTTCAGCTAACAAAGTGAGCCTCGAAGGCTGTAAAACCTATGTTATTGTGACTTAGAATCTCTGGACCTATAACTCCTCTTTGCAGGCAAACTTACTGCTATTACTAGCAAGAAAACTGCTGCTACTAATAGACTTCATTACAGGTTATTACTATGTTGTTGATGTCAGCTATCCAAATGTTTCGGGTTTTTTAGCCCCATACCGTGGAGAGAGTTATCATTTAAATGATTTTGGAGGCCGAGGATGAATACGCAATAAGCGAGCTTTATTTAGTTACCGACACTTGTCCTTGCGTAATGCGATTGAGAGATGCTTCGGAGTACTAAAGGAAAGATTTCCCATTCTAACATATCACGTGGTTACCCATTAAGAAGACATGTTCAAATTCTCATAGCTTGTTACGCATTGCATAACTTCATTCGCATGCAAGATAGGAACTGCCGTTTGTTCTTGGAGTACGAGGAAAAGGATATGATATTTAACACGGAGGCGAGTACATGTGAAAATGGATCACTCGAATTTGATATGCCTCAACAACAACAAATGCAATATGGGATGATTACAATGTATGGCATGTCGAAGAACGACTTGTTCTGATTGACATAATGTCACTTATTGAACTTTCAGGGTTGGGAAACATTTATGTTAATTTTTGTATTTTTCCAAATGTTTGTAATTGTGCATTTCTTTTCTACATATTAAGTCAACATTTTCTGGTAAAAATGAAATGAAAAAGTAAAAACTCTGATAAACATGTTTTCTGATTTGGAAAATAAAAATCTGGAAATCGAAAACAGAAAACTGGAGACTTGAAAACAAAAAATGAAAACAGAAAAATATATCTGTTAGTAAACATGCTCTTAGTTTTACATTATTTTAACTCTCACATTTTAAATATGTCTAATAGATTTATGCAACTGACAATAACTCTTTTCTTAGTAAAGTGGTTTCAGAAGAAGAGAAGAACTAAAAAATACGGAGTAGTACATATTACAGGGATGAAAAACAAAAAAATGGAGGGACCTAGAATAGAACATGGTTATGTAACCTCTATGAGTGTAATGAACAAATCCTTTAGTGTAACTTGCAATATACTTATTAATAATTGAATATATGTGAATGTTCTTGAACTCATCGATCACTATGGTGTCCTTTGGGGATAGTAGATAAAAGATTTCTGAATCTTTCATTTTTGTATTCATCCACATATTTAATTTAACAGTTGGGCAAGTATGTTTCAATGGTTTCATCTAATATATAACACTAACTACTTTAAGTTAGTTGCAGGAAGTTCTGATGGTGTGGCTAAGTTATCCAGGTAATGCCAATAACAAATATTATATTACACCCAAATAAAGAAATAGATTAAAAATTAAGCAAAAAATATAACCATCATATCTGTTTGGGATTTGATCAATTATACAAATTTTCATAAGACAATGATTCAGATGTCTATTCTTTTCCAAATGAGGTCATCAATGTTTTGTTGGTTGTGATAACTCCAGCTGTTTCATAATATAATTTTTTAAAAGATTTGGTCACCACACAATGTGTAATATCAACACTTAGCACATAATCCTGATTATTTTTTACGATACATATAATATTGATCTAAACCTGATTGTGCGTTTCAGTCTGTGAATCAATGTAAAACTAAGTTTTCATATGGATAAAGACTGTTCAACCAAACTTGAAAAAATTGTTATGTGTAGTGCACTAAAGATACGAATACATCAAATGATTTTTATTGTGATCACCGGAAATGATTTATGTAGTTTTCTAAAATATTAAAGCTTGATTTCAACCCATGAGACATCTTCGATTAAAATCCAAGCACCTGTTTGAACTGGCTATGTTAACTGGTGAGTAATTTGAGACTTGGGTTAATATCTTTCATCTCATATTTAACTACTTGAGATTGAATGCATGAACTTCTGGTGGATACTCCTCCTAAAGAGATTGACTAGAAATAAGCAATCTTGCG